CGAAAATTGATGAGAAAACGAACAGGATTGCTTTTGAACTCAGAATAAGACTTAAAATTAAACCCCAAGAAATCATGCAAAATTGGTGTTTTGTTAGTCGAGACAAAAAAATCAATTAATAATAATAGTACACGAGTAATATTCATATAAATAAATTAAAGTTAGGCAAGCATAAGCTGACGAAAAATGGTAATAAAAGCCTCAAGCTTGCTACAACATTTTGATTTCCTCGTTCTTCTTATATAAGCCTTGAATGATAAGTAAATTTGACAGACAGTAGTTAATTTCCCTTTTAAATGCTCAATTTTAAACTCAGATTCCTTCCTTGCATTATATTCTAAACCACATGAAAGAATGTCATTTTGTAGTCAAGTCAAAATTATACCTTATTAGTAGAACAAAAGTAGTGTGCATCTAAAGTAATTGAAGTTAAGCAAACATAAACTGACTAAGAATATGAGACGATTTCACGTGTTTGTTCCAAGTTCTTTATTTGCTTCACCCTAAAAATGAAGCCTCGAATAGCAATGGAAATTGACATCCCGCATATTGGCTCTCGTATAACTGTTTCTCAAAGTTAATCCCTCACCCCTCATCTCGGATTCTGACCTTGCATTATATTCGAAAGTACATGAAAAAATGTAATTATGTAGTCAAGACGCAAACATTCCTTGTGAGTAGAATGCAAGTAGTATGCATCAAAAGTAATTGATTTTACGCAAACGTAAACCGACTAAACCTATGAGACGATTTCACATGGTTGTTGTACATTTTTCATTAGTTCCATCCCAAAAGTTAGGCCTTGATTGTCAAGGGAAATTGTCAGCCTGCAGACAACTTTCTGTATGGCCAACTCTCTGAGTTGCTTCGAGTCCATTAGTTCCGTGTTTGGCAGCATGTCCACTGCAATTATCTGTTGTCTCTACGCACTGTGACAATATTTGCAGACAGTACCGATTCGCAGAGGGAGGGCAAGAGGGGGGGAGGAATTTCTTGCTCGC